CGCGCATGCGCAGTAGCGATCGCGGCCGCACCAATGGGAGAGCAGGGCGCTCTATTTAAAGCTGCCCTGTGCATCTCCAAGTTGCCACAAGGTCTTGTTCCTGTCCTGTAAGTACGCTTCCTTGTTGCCAAACTCTGCCTGTTCTGTTTATGCTGACCTTCTCCTGCTCTGACCCCGGCTCCTCCCTGACCATCCTTCTGCCTGACCCTCTGTACCGCTGCCCGCTACCTGCTGAACCTGGCTTGTGACCCCGACCATTCTCCGCTTACTCCCCCTGTACCACGCTGCCCGCACAATACCGACCCGGCTAGTCTGACCTCGCCTACTCCTGATAGTTTCCCATCCATCCCGCTCGGATCGGGATCTGTCATCCCATCCATCCAGCTCGGATCGGGATCTGTCATCCCATCCATCCCGCTCGGATCGGGATCTGTCGTCCCCTTCACAGCAGGCTCAACCCGGGCACATACCCTCAGCGGGACCCCTCTGCCACCGCCGGGGGTGCCCAGGGACGCGACCTGGTTTCAGTCTTGCACCAAGTCCATCCCCACCATCAGGGGCCCTGGTGAAAAGGCAGACTGGGGCTTAGACTCCGCGTCCTGGGAAACCCCGTGCCGTGGACCACTAGAGATCCCGTTGGGCGGAGCCTGACAGCAGTCTTGTGACTTCTATCAGTTTCCAGCAGAGCACTGGTTAAAGCTTGTAGGAGGAGTTTTATTTTTGCTCTAGGAGGATGCAGAACCCCTGACCTCTGTCTGGACAGTGCTGATTGGCCTTGTGCTGATCACATGTTCTCTCCCAAGAAAAAGAAAACCCTCTCTAGCCATACACACCAAACTGAGCATGTGCGGAGTGACTCCACATTATATGTCTTATCAGGAGATAAGAGGGGGACACTGGAAGTAGGGGAGGATCAGAGAAGTCAGGATCAAACAGCCTTTTTACATAATGCAGAGGATTAACCCCTTAGGTTCCACAGTGAGTATAACAAACATGCTTTACTACATATACAGACCGATTTTACTGTTGTGGGTTTAATAACACTTTACTACTGAAATTTTAAAGATAGACAACTACTATCTTCATATTGTAAAAGAAGTTGTAAATTCTGTATAAAATTGTATTCTATTTTGTATGTTTTGCCTATGTATTGTACACTGCACTCATTGTGCACACTACACTAATAATGTTTTGATTGCATATTTGCATCATTTTGAATCTTGATTAGAAATTAGCCTGCCTATGTAACACCCCATTACCATAAAAGTACAATTGTAATATTAATGTGATGCCTACGTAACCATGTGTATAAAAACTTTCAAATGCACCAAATAAACAGAACAGTTATTTGGAAAGATGCTGAATGTATCTTTTGTGTCTCTCTTCTCTACTGCAGTATTTATCTTAAATTTGGAACCACTAATCAATATGAGGATAGGAGTTGCCCATCTATAAAATTTCAGTGTAAATGTCCAGAACAATTTTCACCCAGTGATCCAGCCAGTAACACACTTCCTATTCTAGAGTGACAACGCTCACTGTACTGTAGCTATAGAGAAGCAGCATTATATGTATGAAGAGAAATGGTGCTGCGCTAATTATCCTAAAAGTGAATAAACAAAATACAAAAAAATGTGTATACAAATCTGCACTACTAATAAATAATTGAGTGAACATCCACATAAACCCACACATGAGTAAACAATCCACATAGAACCATATAACTAAATGTGCAGAGGAATATCAACAAGAGCGAATCCACAATATGTGTATTGAGTGGCAATATGGATGAAAAGTGACCAAATAGTGAATGCAAAAAACATCAAGTGTTCAATGGATAAATAGCATAAAGATGACATAAGAAAAACAAAATGCTGTCAATGGCGATAAAATAGTGACATAAAAGAGTGGCAACAAAGATAAAATGTGGCCAAATAGTGAATGTAAAAAAGCATCATGTGTTCAGTAGATGAAATGCATAAAAATATAGGATGAACCAAATAAATAAGTGGCAAAAAAAAAAGACAAATAGTCCCAAAACAGTCCTAAAAAGCACAAAGCTGTGAAAAATCAGTGACTAAAAACGGGCGATCCTTCACTGCCTAGTGTGCACGCTCACCTTCAAACCGCGACCCGCAAGCAGTCACAAAGCATAAATACAGGTAGATGATCCCCAACTGGATGGATCTCAATAATAAATAACGCGTAGGACGGATGACATCATTCCGGTATGGTGATGGCACACGCCAAATCTTGGTAATCCAACCTCATACACCCTGTACTGCTTAATACAGTGATTGCATTTTGGGTCTGCAGACTCGTTTACACTTGTGAGCAGTTTCTTTTTAACCACTTGACCTCCAGAGGATTTACCCCCCTTAATGACCAGGCCTCTTTTTGCTACTCGGCGCTGCACTAATTCAACTGATAATTGCACGGTCATGCAATGCTGCACCCAAACGAAATTTTACATCCTTTTTATAGAGCTTTCTTTTGGTGGTATTTGATCACCTGTGCGCTTTTTCACGCTATAAACAAAAAAAGGCCAAACATTTTGAAGAAAAACAATATTTTTTACTTTCAGCTATAAAAAATATATAGTAAACTCAAAGTTGGTTATAAATTTAGGCCAAAATGTATTCTGCTACATGTTTTTGGTAAAAAAAATCCCAATAAGTGTATATTGATTGCTTTGTGTGAAAGTTATAGCGTCTACAAACTATGGTATAGATACTGCAATTTACGCCATTTTTTTGCTATACAGCGCTGCGCTAGTTTAATGGACAATTGCGCGGTCATGCAATAAGGTACATAAATGAAATTTACATCCTTTTTTTCCCACAAATTGAGCTTTCTTTCGGTGGTATTTGATCGCCTGTGCGGTTTTTATTTTTTGCGCTATAAAAAAAAGGCTGACAATTTTGAGGAAAAAAAACAATATTTTGGACTTTTTGCTATAAAACGTCCAGTGAAAACAAATGTAAAAATCAAATTTAGTCATAAATTTCTGCCAAAATGCATTCTGCGACATGTCTTTGCTAAAAAAAAAAAACCCAATACGTGTAAATTAATTGGTTTACGTGAAAGTTATAGCGTTTACAAATGGTGAGAAAGATACTTTGATTTTGTTTTTTTTTATACTAATAATGGCGGCGATCAGCGACTTATGGCGGCGATCAGTGACTTATGGCGGCGATCAGCGACTTATGGCGGGACTGCGGCGGACATTCTGACATTGGGGGGTACTGACTTGGGGTCACTGACATCCCCAGTGACACCAATACAGTGATCAGTGCAAAAAAAAAAAAAAAAACACTGACACTGTACTAATGCACTGGGGAGGAAGGGGTTAAGTTTATTTTTCAGGGAAAGGGTTAACTGTGTGAGGGGAGTGTTTTACTAGGGGGCGGGAGTGTGTACTGCAGGGAAAACCGCTGATCGGGAGAGAGAAACTCTTCTGTCCCGATCAGCGTGTCCTGGAGCTGTCAGGGAACTGACAGAAAGCACAGCTACTGCAGCTGTGCTCTGTCAGCGATTGCCGCTGATCGCCGGGACATAGCCGGTAACGACCGGCTGTGACCCGGTGACTGACATCCACGGCTGTGATCGGCGGGACAGGTAGGGCTGCAGCGCGCGTGCCCCCTACCTGTTTACAAACCACACGTTTTAAAACGTGCTTTTGCCCAGCCGTGCCGCCCTGCCGCCGTGTTTATACAATGGCTAGGCGGCATGTGGTTAAACATATTAATAAAGCCTTACTTACTACACTATGGAAGCTCTCTTTTGATCCTTTCTTATGAGGAATTTGGAGGTGGAGGAGATTTAAAGTTACACACCCTTAAGGACACTGTTATTACTGATTGCTGTGTATGCCATGGAGAGGAGCCTTCATGTATCTTACCATTGAGATCCATTCGGTTGGGGATCATCTACCTGTATTTATGCTTTGTGACTCCTTGTGAGTCACAGTTTGAAGGTGAGTGCTCACACTAGGCGGTGAACGATCACCCGTTTGTTTGTGGTCACTGATTTTTCACAGCTTTGTGCTGAAGATACACACACCGTTTGTGTTTTTGGGACTGTTTTTGGGACTATTTGTCTTTTTTTTTGCCACTTATTTATTGCTATTGATCTTATTTGTTTTTTTTATACATTTGTATGCATTTAATCCACTGAACACTTTGTTTTTTTACATTCACTATTTGGCCATGTTTCATCTTTGTTGACACTTTTTTATCGCTATTGACAGCAATTTGTTTTTCTTATATGTTATCTCTATGCTATTTATCCACTGAACACTTGATGTTTTTTGCATTCACTATTTGGTCACTTTTTCATCCATATTGCCACTTGATACACATATTGTGGATCCACTCTTGTTGATATTCCTCTGCACATTAGTTATATGGTTCTGTGTGGATTGTTTACTCATGTTTGAGTTTATGTGATTTTTCACTCATGTTTGGGTTTATGTGTTTGTTCATTAACCACTTGCCTACCAGGCACTTATACCCCCTTCCTTACCAGGCCAATTTTCAGCTTTCAGCGCTGCCGCACTTTGATTGACAATTGCGCGGTCATGCAACATTGTACCCATATGAAATTTTGATCATTTTTTTCTCACAAATAGAGCTTTCTTTTGGTGGTATTTAATTGCCACTGGGCACTTTACTTTTTGCGCTATAAATAAAAAAAGTGCAAAAAATTTGAAAATTTTCTTTGTTTCTATTATAAAATTTTTCAAACAGGTATTTTTTCTCCTTCACTGATGTGCGTTGATGAGGCAGCACTGATGGGCACTGATAGGCGGCACTGATGGGCACTGATAGGTAGCACTAAAGGGCACTGATAGGCAGTACTAATGAGGCGGCACTAATATGCAGCACTGATAGGCGGCACTGATAGGTGACACTGATGATGGGTACTGATAGACGGCACTGACTGGCATCACTGCTGGGCACTGACTGGCGGCACTGACTGGCACAACCCCTGGGCACTGACTGGCAGCACTGCTGGGCTGCACTGGTGGGTGGCACTGGTGGGCAGCACTGGTGGGTGGGCACAGGTGGGTGGCACTGGTAGGTGGGCACAGGTGGGTGGCACTTCTGGGCACAGGTAGGTGGCACTTCTGGGCACAGGTAGGTGGCACTGCAGAGTGGCACAGGTGGGTGATCTGCTGGGCACAGGTGGGCGGAGCTAGTGGGCGCACTGCTGGGCACTTGCGGGTGGCACTGCTGGGCACCGATCATCAGGGCACTGATCATCAGTGTCCTGATGATCGGTGCCGATCCCCGCTGTGACAACTGCCGGTTCTCGGCAGTACTTTCCTCACGATCTGACAGCGTGAGGAAAGTGCAGCCAAGAACCGGCACTTGCATTTCCCTGTGATCAGCGTGTCATTGGACACCGCTGATCATTGGTAAAAGGCCGCTGGGATCGGCCTTTTACCACATCACTGATCAGCTGTGTCCGTAGGACACAGCGATCACTGAGATCGCCGGGTGCGCGCCCCCTGGGGCGCGCAGGAGAGCGCGTTCTGGGGGGACGTCATATGACGTCCACCCAGAACTGGCCGGCCGCAGTGAAGCCGTCATTCGGCTATCTGCGGTCGGCTACTAGTTAATTTACTTATCAGTAGTGCAGATTTTTATACACATTTTTTTTGTATTTATGTGTATTGGTTATTCACTTTTAGGATAAGTAGTGCAGCACCATTTCTCTTCATACATCTGTTTCACTATTTGATTGTAGCTAGGTGCTAGCAGCCACTTTATTTTGGGTTAGTACATTTGGCAGCGCAGGAGGCTTCTCTCTTTTTTCTCTCTTAGAGATGCAGCATTGTTACCTCCCCCTCTTGATAACATAGGGGACAGATGTTCTGTAGTTCACCAAGGTTAACTGAGCAGGGCTGATAACAGTGGAGAGAGCACGGAGTTAAGAGCTCACTGGATTTCTAGCAGGATCAATGGTTACCTGTTTTTCTTTTGCACTTATCAAGCAGGTATAACAAAACACTCTAAATATTTAAAAGACCAAACGAAGAAATTAGGAGGAGTTAACTGTTAAGGGTTACATACACTTTAAAGTTAACCAGTTGCAATCAAATTATGCAACAATCTGAGCATTTAGTCTTGAGGTAATTATTACTCCCTGCATAGCAGGGTCACATCAACCATTTCTAGTCCGGGCCATTTCGGACATTCATCTCCTACAGGTACAAATCTGCATTTTTGCTAGAAAACACTTAAAACCCCCAAGCATTATATATTTTTAAAGCAGAGGCCCTAGAGAATAAAATAGTGGTTGCTGCATATTTTTATTGCACGACAGTTGTGCAGTGGTTTTTCAAACACAAATTTTACAGTTTAAAAAAAATACACTTTAATGCATTTTAATGCACAGAAAGACAATATAATACCAAATTGTTTGGAAAAATATAAAAATATGATGTTATGCAGAGTAAATACATACCAAACATGTCTCACTTTAAAATTGTACCTTTATTTTTTTTTCTTTTGTATCAACTTTATTGCTATCACAAGGGATGAACAATGGGAAGAGTTCACTGAAAAAAAAATGATACAGGGATCATAGTTGTAGCCTCAACCATGATCCCAGTATAACAACTTCAACTTTATGTCGTTTATAAATGGCCTAAGAACAGGAAGTGGTTAAAGAAACCCATAACTCTTTATATTCCATGTAGCTCATGGCCTGTTATTTGACCTGTGTCAGACTCATTTAGAAACTAGGAGACATTGTACTGTATGAGGCCAGAAAATTGAAAGGGCAGCAACAAAAATTCAGATGACCACTAACCACTTAAAAGGGAGGTGTTCTGTAGCCCAGATAGAGGATGACAGTTCTGTTCTTCCCTAAATACAGTACAGTGAGTGATGGTTATCATTCTAGGACAGGAAGTGTAATACTGGCAGGATCTTCGGCTGTAAAACTTAGCCTTTGTTGAAACATTTTAAAGTGCTACAGTTCGTTTCAGACTGCAGACTGGACCATTTATTGTGTGATAAAGTGTGGCATTTCAATGAGTTATAAATGCTACATTTAATCTAAATGTTTTTGTTGTTGTTTTTTGGTAAATGCTTTGTTAGCAAATTATAAGAAAAAGTTTACATTCAGGAGTTTATCAGATATCAAACACAGGACTAGTAAGCATGCGGAAGTCCCATACCCTAGTAATTGAAGGCATTATATTTCACACATTTGATATGTTCATATTGACATGTGACAAAAGAAACTGAACTGTGAGGACATTACCTCTCTGTCTGGTTTATGTGGCTTCATAAGCTCCACTGCTTGTCCCCTCCGTACCAACATTACTTGGGAGTCTCCCAGCCAAGCCACATGCAACATGTTGCCACGGATAAAGGTCACCACCCCTGTTGTACCACAACGAAGATTCTACATGAGAAAAAGATATATACATGGCAATTATTAGGCAGTTACACCAGAGACTCTCCCATGAAGAGGCAAGGACATGAGTAATTACTCTTCAATATACGGAAATCATTTTAAAAAAGGTATTTAAAGTTTCTTAAAGAGGATTTAGATTATAAAAGTAAATGAGAATAGTTCCATGGGTGACTATAACATAGCCAAATCCATCACCGTGATTAGGAAATTCTCGCAAAGTAAAACAAATATCCAGTATTTCCTGGCAGCCCAGTGCCTTCCAGATGTACTGTATGTAATAGAACTGTAGCCATGCTACTTCTAATGCACCAGTCTGTTCACGATTATAAAAGAGTATGTATAGCCAATACTTATTTTTATAGTTTAAAATGGAGTAGTGAAGGACTAGAACCTCTGCCAGGTTTTCATTGCTTTGTTTCACCACACTAGAACAAAAAGTGGAGAATGGTTCGATTGAGGATCTTGCTCTCTGATGACAATTTAGGAGGAAATTCCCTCACTTTGTAGAGATTTCTTCTCACTTTCTGTTGCTTCTCCCGTACGGTACATAAAAAGGAATTTTCCCCAACTGGACACAAACAGCAAAAAATACAAACTGACAGTGATTTTTAACCCATTGAACTCTATTCAATACTGAAATGAAACATTTAGGCTATACTTTAACCATAACAGCACGTGATCAGATCTATCTCTGCTAGTTTACACTGCAATCATTCTGAAATACAAATTACAGTACCCCTATGAAAGGACATGGTTTATGCAATTGCCAAAATGTCTCCTAAAAAATGATCAAATCAACTCAGCTTTGGATGAGGAAGAAACAATTACTTATTTTTCCCAAGCAGCAAATGCATGCAGGTGTCAGATATAAAAAAAAAAACCTGGACACCTTTCTCCCTGGAACAACTTCTTTGGATACAGTTGGTGTGGCACAAGGCTTATCATCTTTGAGTATAGTGACAGCTTGATGCTGTTTTGTTTCAGCCCAATGTCACCTTGAGCTTGCTGTCACTGTGATAGATATTGCTGTGTCACGCGCACATCTGCTCCAATCTGAGAGAATATTGCTCGTGCATGGAATAATTTACCATCCATTCCCCGCCTCATTCTATCTGCTTCATTTTCTCTCTTGCCAGTTATATTGCTTAATGCACAGTGCTTGAAAGCAAGAAATCATAAAACCATTTAGTTCTAGTCAAGTATATGCATTTCTTCTAAACCCACATATTGTATACCTGTGCCTCGATGAAAAATGAGTTGGCATTTACCAGGAGTACCTTTTCTAAATCAATTTCCCCCACTTAGCCATGAAATATGGGTCAGCTGGGAAAGAATAAAGTAGATTGTGGAATCCTGCAAAGTGCCCATTATGGCAATAATAGGTATACTCTACATTAAGCTACCCATGGTCTGTTTTACAGTGATAAAATAAACTGGTTGGATACTTTCATAAATAAAAAGTTAAATGATGTGCAGGGTAATAATTAACATTTACTGTCTCAATTTGCACTTGTGGAAAAAATTATTTAAAGACAAGTCAATATGAGGGCCTGTGGAGGTTATGCAGGTGAATCTATATTACAGCTTAACACAGGGCAAACAGCTAAATAAACCAACTAAATGCATTTAAAGTAGATGCTTTACCTGTTTTAGAATTTGCATTCCCAGTTCTAAGATTATTTAAAATAGTTCAACAAATTGATTTAATTAATCTAAGATTAAGATTAGATCTTTGCCAGTGCCAGAGAACTCATTTTTTCTCTGATGCAGTTCAGTAACACCTACAAGTCTTTTCCAATCCCCGGCTTGTGATTGGACAATAAAATGAGAAGCAGCAGACTGATGAGTGCAACTCTTCTGCTACTGTTTTGTCCTATCAGCAAGCTCCTTTCCCTGCAATGCAACTGAATCCTTGTGCCAATCCACCCTCCCCCAGCATGAGCATATGGACTGTTAAAAGCTGTAACCATGAAAAATTCAGATAAGGTTGCATTGATGAGCAGAGCTGCATTATAGGTAAACTTTACAACTGCCTGGATTTCAGCTTAAAGTGTTTGTAAAGGCTCAAGGTCGCCCCTCTGGATCCGGCGATGTTCACAGGAGCAGCTGCTCTCTTAGGACTCTCCCTCCTCATTGGCTGAGACAGCAGAGGGAGCCATTGGCTCCTGCTAATGTCAATCACAGCCAGTGAGCCAATGTAGAGAGAGTGATAAAAACTGAAAGGTTTGATTTAACATTTTCATTACATACGGATGAGGGGGGATTAACCAGTGAAAGTAAAACATAAGCAGATTAAACTTTAGCTTTAAATTGTTTATTTTGTTTTAACCTGGACACAAAGAACTGTGCAAACAGCAAAAAATATGCACTCACTGCCTACCATATAACAAATGGGCAACAAACTACGCCTACACATTTATGCATCATCATAAAAATTCACCCCCACAGATGCCAAGCATAAGTACACTATTGTAGCTTGAGCCCAGTTGGGACTGACATAACTTACAAACTTTTGAACAAGTCCTGCTAGCATATACCATATACCAAATTATATGAGTATCATTATTCACCCTTATAATGGCTAGATAAAATTGGCCTTGTGGGTCTTTACAGGGAAGTAGTATACATTATTCTAGAATAAGAACAAAGAATATTATATCCACTTAACATGTTTAGGAGGCAGACACCTGGCATGCGGATTGCAGCAAAATTGAGGATGGTTTATACAGTTCCAGGCATTACCAAAACATATAGAGATTTGAAGGGACAGAACCACAATGGGGACAGCCAGGATCATCCAATATTGCCACACA